AGACTGAGGCAGGAGGATTTCTAGGAGTTTAAAGCCAGCCTGAGCTATATAGTGAGATCCTGTCCCCAAGCGAACAGAAGGCTGAAGAAATGCTGCCCACAAATGTGTCCTTACTTGAATCATTTCGTTAAGATGTATCTCTTAGGATTTTTATTAATGCGTATGTGTGTAAATGAATGTCATGTGTATGCAGATGCCCTCAGGACAGAAGAGGAAGTGGATCCCCAGGAATTTTAAATTGCAGGTGGTTGTGAGCTGCCCGATACAGGTGCTGGGAGGTGAATCTGGATCCTCTGCATGAGCAGCAAACTCTTAACTGCTGAGCTGTCTCTCCAGCTCCTTAAATAATTCATTAAAAATCCTTTTACATTTATTTATTTTTGTTTGTTACGGGGCCTCATCGGTCATAGGCATATGGAGGCCAGAGGACACCTTGAAAGGGTAGGCTCTCCTCTACCACCATGTGGGCTCCAGGGGCAGAACTCCAGTTGTCAGGCTTGGCAGCAAGCACCTTTACCGGCTGACTCATCTTGGCAGCCCATAAACTTGAAATTTGACTTTGTAGTATTAGAATTAGATATTAAGATAAAGCCATTCATAAGGTCTGGTGAGGTTGTTCAGTGGTTAAGCTGTTCTTGCAGAGAACCTGGGTTTGGCTCCCAGAACCCATGTAGTAGCTCATAGCAGTCTGCGAACTGCGCAATAGTCTGGGGCACAGTTAAAAGTTCTAGGCTTCCAAACTTAAAAGCCTCAGTGTAAAAATCATTTTTAGTTCAGTTATCTCCTCTTAAAGAGTTCAAACTTTGTCCTAGCTTTTTCAAAATACTTTTTAAGACTTGTTTATTTAATATGTGTGGGTGTTTGTGATTAAGAGCATGCAGTGCCCACAGAGGCCAGAAAAGGGCATCACAATCCTTTGGAACTGAAGTTACGGACAGTTGTGAGCTGTCACAGTGGGTGTTGGGAATTGAACCCACGTCCTCTGAAAGAGAAGTCAGGGATGTTAAGCCAGCCCCTGACCTAGCTTCTTAAAGAATAACAGTGAAAATGGCAAGGGGTGAGTTTTTTCTCATGTGGAGAAGTTCTGTTGATTCTCACTCTCAGGTTAGCTGCAGCTGAGTGTGTCAGGGAAGTGTACTCAGGTGACCGGGAAGGGATACAGATGTTTCCAGAACTTTGCTGGCACGCCAGGCTGTGAGCATTGTTGTGATTGTGGGTTCTTCGCTCTCCACTTACATAAGCATTTGTATGCATGCGTAGATGTGCGACCCTGCATGTGCGTGTGGTGGTGTGTGTATCCTAGGAGGACATGAGAGTGCAAAGACATCAATCCATGGCTTGAAGGTCACCAGCAAAGAGAAAAGGAGATGTCAGCTGCTGGCTAGAAACTCGGCAGCTGGCCGACACTCTCCACCAGGGAAAGCCTTCTGCCAAAATAATTGAGAATCTTGTAAAGATAACTTTCCCAGGGAGCCAACAAGAATGCTGGGCCAGAGAGACAAAAGGCACGCATCGTAATCTTGACGGTCATTCATAAAACACCCTTTGTCTATTCAGGGAGACTTCAGTACTTGGCCGTGTGGGCCAAGGGAAAGAAAGAACAAGGGGGAATTTTTATCGAGTTACTCTTTCAGTGAACTGAGCTTTCTATGAAAGGACTGAAGCCAGCTTCATTCAGTACTTTTGTTTTGAAAGCAAGGCTTGTTTTAAGTTAGAGACACCGTATGGAAAATGATTTTGATGAATGGCTCCTAGGAACTTTATAACAACTGATGGGTTTGAAAACTGAATTCAATCCAGGGGATAAAGAATTTTTGTTGTTGCTATTTTAATGTTTTCTATTAGTATTGTATTAGTATTCTGTTAGCTTGTATTATGTGTGCATGATGCTGGGTTTCATTATGACTTTTTCATACATGTAGTAGCGTGTTCTGGCCATATGCACCTGGTCCCTCTAGTCACCATTCTCTTCCAAACAAAACTATTTCCTTTCTGATTTCATATCTTCTTTGTGTGTGTGTGTGTGTGTGTGTGTGTGTGTGTGTGTGTGTACGCGCTTGTGAAGGGGGAGTGAGGGAGAAGGAGGGAGGGAAAAAGAGGGAGAGAGAGAGAGAAACCCAGTGAGTTTCACTAGGGTTTCACCCTACAGGAGCATGGGTGGGGTTTGCTTATGGGAATGTGGGGTACCTTACCAGTGGCTGCGCTGCTGAAGACAATGTCTGTTCAATGGACAATGCTTAGCTTTTAGATAAGGATTACTTTTCTAGAAAAGGGACATTAGACATCTCTCTACTCCGTGGGCATAATCCCCGCCCTCAGCCATAGCAGCAAATGCCCATGGGAGGAGGCCTACCATTTGTATGCACTGAGTTTTAAGGATTTTCCTGAGATTTTAAAATTAAATTTATATGATTTTTTTTTTAAGTAAATGTGTTTATACATTTTACCTCCCGGCCACCGTTTCTCCTTCCTCCTCTCCTCCCATTCCTTCCCCCCGTCTTCCCCCTGCTTCTGTTAGAAAGGGGCAGACCTCCTAAGGGTATCAACAAAACACGGCATATCAAGCTGCAGGAAGACTAAGCACCTCCCTGTATTAAGGCAGGACAAAGCAACCCAGTATGAGAAATAGGTTCCCCAAAGCCAGTGTTAGGGACAGCCCCTGCTCCCATTGTTAGGAATCCCACAAGTAGACCAAGCTACACAACTGTCGCATATATGTAGAGGGGCTAGGTCATTCTCATGAAGGCCTCCATTACTGGTGGGAGTGCAAAATTGGACAGCCATGTTGGAAATCAGTATGGTGATTTCTCAGAAAATTTGGAATCAGTCCACCTCAAGATTGCTTGTTTGTTTGTTTTGTTTTGTTTTGTTTTTTAAGGATTTATATGCTAGGTAGCTCATCTAAAGCTATCCACCAGCAACTGGAATAGGGCCAGCTGCAAAGAGAAGGCTCCAGAATTTAGCAGCATTCTTCCAGAGGCCTCCCACCCTGTTGGCATCAGCAGTGGAGTTCTGATCAAATATTTATGAGCCACGCTTCTGGCTGGGCTGTCTCAACGGAGGGAAAATCAAGTGTCGAAGGAAGGGTTGGTTGCTCATCAGAACAACATCCTAGGCGTGGATGAACATCTGCTCTTTAATTATAGCGGGCGCTTTCCAACACCCCTCCCTCCTGTACTTCTGATGCATGACCCTTCTTTCGTAACTGCATCTGGTCATGGCATTTCCAGAACCGCTCCATCCAGGGAGGAGGCCCACAGCCAGTGAGTCAGATCTGTAACTCGTGAAAAGGATTACGTGAATTAAGAGCAGATGCCCTGGTGCACTTAGTCCTGAGGCAGTTAGAGGACCCTGTCATCTCTCACACCATTTGAGTCTATTTATTTTCGCTGCTGTAACAAAATACCCCAAACCATGTAATTTATAAAGAATAGGTGTTTATTCTCTCCCATGGCACTGTGGGCTGGGAAGTTCAAAAACGAGGTGCCCGTGTCTGCTAGCACCTTCGAAGACATCACAGTGAAGATGCATACCTCAGTTCAGATCTATCTTCTTCCTCTTTCTAACCCATTACTCACCTCTTGGGGACCCCATCCTGATGACCTCATTCAGTCCTCATAACCCACCAAGAGCCCCAACTTCAAACACCCTTGACTTATGAATGTGGGCAGTTTCTAGCCCATGGGATTTGGTGGAGATAGATGCAAGGTGTAGCATCCTCCCACAGCGGGATTCAACCTGCTACTCCCTCATTCGTCCTTCATCCGAGCTTGAGTGCAGGAAGTCAGGGTCAGGGTAGGCGGGATGACTCAGTGGGTAAAGCACTTGCCATGTGTCTGTGCACACATGCAGCTGTGATAAAACATTGACCAAAATACAGTCTGGAGTACGTAGTGAGACCCTGTCTCAAAAAAGCAGTTGGAATCAATTTATGAGGTCAGTGGGTCAGTCATCTTAATTATCCAAGTGAACGACAATCTCAATTAAATAGTAATGGAGAGTGGGTTTACTGTTGTTGTTTTCAATTTTGTTAAATCTTATTTACTTATTTATGGGGGCAGGCCTTGTGCCATAGCATATACATGACCATCAGAGGACAATCTGCAAAAGTTAGTTCTCTCTTTCCACCACATGGGTCCCAGATTTGATCTCAGATTATTAGGCTTGGCAGCAAGCACCTTTACCTTCCCAGCCATCTTTCCAGCCCTATGACCTATGATTCTTCTTCTTCTTCTTCTTCTTCTTCTTCTTCTTCTTCTTCTTCTTCTTCTTCTTCTTCTTCTTCTTCTCCTTCTCCTCCTCCTCCTCCTCCTCCTCCTCCTCCTCCTCCTCCTCCTCCTCCTCCTCCTCCTCTTCTTCTTCTTCTTCTTCTTCTTCTTCTTCTTCTTCTCCTTCTCCTCCTCCTCCTCCTCCTCCTCCTCCTCCTCCTCCTCCTCCTCCTCCTCCTCCTCCTCTTCTTCTTCTTCTTCGTCTTCTTCTTCTTCTTGTGAATGTTTTGGTGCTAGGGACTGAGACCAGTACCTTGAGCACACCAAGCATGTGTTCTGCTGCTGGAGTACCGTTAACCCTGAGAGTTTGATTGTAAAAAATGAACGAACACTTATTTTTTTTGGACCTTTGTAGGCTTGCACAGAGCATGGACCCAGGTCTGCTTAGAAAACTTTTCAGATGATTCTACAGAGTTTTCCTGGTCTGTGTAATACTCTACCTGTCTGAATGGAGGCACTGGCTCTTTACTAGAAAGGGAAAGGTAGGCAGGTTCTTGTCCAGCCCTAGCTGGCGGTGTCACCAACTGTTCCCATTGTCTTTTGCTTCTCTATGGAGACCAGGCCATGGTGTGTGTCAGTGGCACCATAAGGAAGTGGTGCAGGCCCTGGTACTGTGACAGGGCAGAAAGGACCACAGTTTACAGTATAGGAAACAATCATGACTATAAGTGGCCAATTGGCTTTGTCCACATCCTCTGCATACCGCATCCCTGACTGACCTTTCTTTTTCAGCACCCGTAGGTGGACTAGAAGATGATATTGTGACCCCAGGTCCAGGAGGTGGCATGGTGAGACCAGGTCTGGAAGACAGAATAGCAACCACGGGTACTACTGGAGGACTGAATGAATCTACTGGAAAGGTACCCTGGGAAGTGTCCAGGGAAAGAGGAAGTTGGCTCCAAAGGCAGGCTGTCACATGCCAGGGGGATGACGTATGCTTAGATATGGAATCAACTGCCATACAATGAAATAGTGGTATAGCTTGCCACAGAGGTACATCCAAGTCTCATCCAAGGACAAGGGAGCTGGTGCGGTGGACACAGACAGTTTGAGAGCAATAGACCATGTCTTCTCAGATGGTATGAAATCAGCCTTTGCCAGCCTGCACTGAGGCCAGGCGTAGTGGCACACATGCCTGTAATTCCAGTACCCAGGAGGCAAAGCAGGCAGGTCTCTGTAAATATGGGCTAGCCTGGTCTCCACGGTGAGTTCCAGGACAGCTAGAGCTACATAGGGAGACTCTGTCAAACAAGCCAACAAACTGGATTCAGGGAGCTTTAGTAGGTCCCTGGGGAGGTGGGAGGAGTTCACCATGCAAGCCCCCAAGCCAGTTTCGACACAAACTCATTCTGTGTGGCTCTTCATCCAGGTCAGTTGCTCTGTCCTCAATGACGAGCAATGAAAAAGTAGAAAAGCCAGCCCTGGGCTGGGGAAATGGCTCAGTCGATAACATGCACGTCTTGCAGGCATGAAGACCTGGGTTCAACCCCTAGAGCCCACATAAAAGCCAAAAATGATGATACCTAGAAAGGTGGATCTCTGGGGTTTGCTGGCCAGCTAGCCTAACCTAAGAGGCATGCCCCAGGCCAGTCAGAGATACATCTCATGGAACAACAAACACATTCACACACACCCACTGTGTAGATGGATTTTCTTTGGCCTGCCAGCTCATAAAAAATGACATGGAGGCTTCTTATTAATTATGAAAGCTTGGCCTATAGTTTAGGATTGTCCCACTTGCTCTTATAACAAATTTATTTATATTAATCTACGTTTGGTCTCATGGCTTTTTACCTCTCTTCCATCTTGCACTTCTTGTTCTCGCTCCATCTCCTCTGGTGTCTCTCACACCTATATTTATTTCCTCATTTCCTCTTCTTTATCCTCTGTCCCCGAAGTCCTGCCTAACCTCTTCCTGCCTAGCTATTGGCCAGTCAGCTCTTTATCAAACCAATCACAGTGACACATCTTCACACAGTGTAAACGAATATTCCACAACAGTCCCCCGCCCCCCCCCCACATGCATTTCACACATAAACCGGGAACCACATCCTAGCCTTCCACTGTCACTGAATAGCTGTGAGGACCTTTCCTGCAGGGAGTCGGTGCTCATTATGGAATCTCTTCGGCTTTGTTCATTGAGTTTACTTGAAAAAGTTGCCCATGGTGTACTGAGAATGTATTGAAAGGGCCTGGTACAAAGTGAGCTGTCAGTGACGGTGAGCTCCGCTCCTCCACACAGTTCTGCCAAGTCAATGTTGTGAGAGAAAAGTGCTATTCCAGTTTGAGAGAGAAAAACTTAGGTGTGAGGGAGCCAGTGTTTTTCAAAGAGATCAAGGGACAGGAAGTCTTCATGCTGAACGTTTAAAGTTCACTTCTGAACTGAACCTGGTTTTATCCCCATCTCCACTCTTGTTTATTTTTTGTTTTGGTTTTTGTTTGTTTGTGTCCATCTGGAGTTTATACTTGCGTTTGTGAAATGTTTGCTACCTTAAAGTCTTTCCTGCAGGACGTCATATGCTGTCCATTTCAAACCTCAGGCTCTGTTCCCTCTTTTGCCTCACCCACTTCTAACAGGTACCAACACACACAGACACTCCCTTTGAGGACCTGCCAACCCCAGAAATCCCAGACCACGATCACGAAGAACATAAGAGTACAACCACTGTCAAAATGGTGACGAGCCATTCTGTGGATCAGTCAACAAGTCACCCCAACAAAGGTGGGTCCGCTCTTACATCACCCATGAATGATAACTAGTCACAACCCCCTCCAAGGACCCGTCACTGGCTCCGAGTGTTGCACTGCAGACCCTGTGTTAGAGCCTTGTGCTGGCTGCTGAAGAGAAGGCTCAGTGGCTAAGAACACACACTTTCAGAGTTCAGTTCCCCAGCATCTCACGGCCTCCTGTGGCTCTAGCTCTGAGTAACCCAACATCTCTGTCTTCTTAGGGTGCCACGCACAAACACATACACATCATGAAAGTAAGATCAATATTTAAAAAGGAAAAATATCTGTGTAAGACGGGTCATATGGCTCAGTAGATCAGCAGGTTAGGGTGTTTGCTGCCAAGCTTGACTGCCTGAGTTCAATCCCTGGAGCATACATGAAGGAGAGAATCAAAGCCTGAAAATTGTCTTCTGCAGGGCACCACAGCACAGTGCCCACATCCATACAGATACGTAAGTCAATCAATCAATCAATAATAATAGTTGTAAAAGAATCTTGCATTGACCCTCAAGGGCAGCAATTCTACACCGACGTTTCCTGGCTATCTAAGTTTACCTTATGGCTATCTAAGTCAGACCCACCAGGACTGTGTGTTGTATACATCATCCAGGTTGGTGCCTGTGACCTGAACTGACTTTGTAGCTGAACTCCTTGATTCTCCTGATTTTACTTTCCAAGTGCTGGGACTACATATGCCACGGAACCTGACTGACTGTTGTATGTTATTCTTCAATGCATACTTCCAGGTCCAGTTGCCAGTTGAGATTTAAGAACTCTACAGTACTTTTAAAGGTTTAACAAGTGATTTTAGATCAGGTGTGGTGGTACATAAACCTTCACATTCAAAGGCACAGGGATTGCAAATCAGAGGCTAGCCTGGGCTACATAGTAAGACTTTATTTGACAAACAATAACATGGGGGCTACATGAGGTGCTGTCTCAAGAACAAAACAAAATCTTTCACAATTGTTTGCCTGTGTACACACCACTATCCACAATATTAACACATGGAAGCAACTCAGTAGTCACAACCAAATGAATGGATAAAAAAAACATAATATGTACCCACAGTGGAATACAACTTAGCTTTAAAAAAGAAATACATGCTTACACATACTACAACGCATGTTAGGCACGTTCAGCCAGGCACAAAGGACAATACGGTATGGGTCCACTTGCACGAGGCACCCAGAGGTGCTGAAATGAATTGATGTAGACAGCAGAATGGTGGCTTCTAGGAGGTGATGGTTGGACGTGATCAGTGTACTTCATCCCACTGAGCTGCACACTTACAAGAATGAATGTTGCTCAGGCATGGTAGTACACAGCTGTGATCCAGGCACTCAGGTAGCAGAGGCAGATGAAGCTCTGTGAACCTGAGGGCAGCCTGGTCTACAAAGTGAGTTCTAGGCAATCCAGGTCTGTACAGCATGATCCGATCCTGTCTCAAAACAAAATAAACACAAAATCGTAATTAATGTCATAATTTTCTTGCCGCACATATTTTGCTCCTATTGCTTTTATGAAGTGGGGTGGGGGCTTGTTTATGTATATGGTTGGTTGGTTGAGTATTTTGGGTGCTCTGGATCTAATCTAGCACTTTCCTCATGGCCAGGCAAGTAGTCTCCCACCGAGCTGTGTCTTTGAAGTGATGGAAAGTCTTGCTGCAAGCTGCTGAGAAAACACTGACAGTAATTGCCAGGCAGAACCAAGTCAGCCTCAGTGAGGAAATAACGAGTGTTAGAACACATCTCTTGTAGCCCAGGCTGGCCTCGAACTCACAGAGATCCGCCTGCCTCTGCCTCCCGAGTACTGGGATTAAAGGCGTGCACCACCACCGCCCGGCTAAGAACACATCTCAAAACTGTAGAGGACTTCTCATGTTTGGCCCATGAGTAAAGCTTCCCTAGTCTTTCTTGGAGAAGAATTCTAGTTTATATGGCTTGTTTCAGGGTGGGTTTTATGAGCCAAGAACCTCAAAGCCCCCCCCTCCCTCCATAAACATCACATCACAGCCAGTTTTACTTCTGGAACCTGTTGGCTCTCTAGGGTGGTGATTCTCAACCTCCCTAAGGCTGCGACCCTTTAGTACAGTTCCTCGTGTTGTAGGGACCCCCAACCATCATATTATTTATATTATATTATTTCATCGCTACTTCATAACTGTTAACTTGCTACTGTTAGGAATTGTAGTGTAAATATCTGAGACCCTCAAGGTGGTGGCGACCCACGGGTTTAGAACCGTTGTTCTGAAAGCGGTGAGCTAAGATCCTAGGGAAAGTCTGATCTTCCCTTCTCTTCATTGTCTTCACCAGACCTTGGGCCTCATCTACAGCTGAGGCAGATAGCCACCCTCAACTCCAGAATTAAGGACTCTGTAAAATGGGTAGTGGGAGAAACTAAGTAAAGGACTTTTATTCTAAAGTAGAAGTCACGGGAAACTAACTGTCCACGAGGAAGTCAGGTGGAGAGTGTGTATTGTGGCCACCTGGCTGGACTAGGACGCTGGTGGACACCCTCAAGTGACAGGGGTGGAAGTCACAAAGGACCAGTTTTCATTCAGCCTAGCAGGGCAGGCCACCCAAGTACAGGTCAGACCACAGAGGAAAAGTTATCAGGAGGCGACCTTACAGTCCTGGCCACCTCCTCCCAAATAAGAAGCCTGCTGTGAAGATGCTTAGAACCTTAGCACTTGCCCTGTTTGCCAGGATCTTGGTAAAAAGCGAAGTCGCCACACCTGCGTTCCTCTGCTCCTCAGCACTCAGCTTTCCCAACCATTTACTTCACAGCTGTGGCTCAGGAGCCTTGACTCTTAAAATCAGCTAAGATAAAATCCACTGGGTGCAAAAGTACAGAGGCTCTGTGGGTGGGCTGTGAAGTCGCAAACTGGTGATAGATAATGCAAAGGGATGGTTATCGGTACAGAGACTGTCATGCTGGCTTCTGAAGCCCCAGTCGGGTTTGTGGAGGGAATTACCCTCTTTGCATAGGTTTTGTAACATTCCACTTCAAGTAAATTCAGCTGCCAACTGTTCAGTTATAGTCATTAAATCCTAATAGTTCTCTGTCTTTGCATTTTTCTCTTTCCAGATAGCACAGCTGACGAAACAGAGACCACAGATAAGAGAGGTAAATGAGATTTTGGTCTTCCTTTGGGAGATAAAAAGAAAGTTTCTTTGAATCCAGTTTTTGGGGGGAATTCCATTCATTCTGGGATCTCAGTCAAACAAGAACAGAAAGGACCATCTTCCAAAACAGAGATGATGGGTTTCCTCTCTTCCTTCTTCCTTTCCTTTTTTCTCCCTCCCTTTCTCCCTTGCTTTTTGAAGTGCTGGGAATCGAACCCGGCACCTTGTGCATACTAAGCTAATGGTCCACCACTAAGCAACATCCCCAGCCCACTTTCAACTTTTTTACTTTGAGACAGAATATCACTTAAGTTTTGCTCAGGCTGTAGTCCAGGCTGACATTGAATATAACTCCCCTGCCTCATCTTCACAAGTCTCTCTCTCTCTCTCTCTCTCTCTCTCTCACACACACACACACACAGTGTGGAGAATGACAACCTATCACAGTTTACTATAACTATTATATTGAATAAGCTGGCATCCTTGTTCTTGTAATGGAAATAATTTGTGGTTTTCCCACTTAAATAATGTTGCTTATAGGTTTGTCATACAGAGCCTTTATTATGTTGAAATATATTCCTTCTGTTCTGAGTTTTCTGGGACTTTTGTCATGGACCAGCCATAAAGAAGCATGCCCATCAACAGTGAAGCTAGCAGGTTATGTGTGATAAATTCAGAGACTCCGAAATCTCTTGATTCACAAGATGGGATTAGAGCAGAGCTGGGTGTGGGGCTTAGTGGCACGGTGCTTGACTAGCACACTCAAGGCCTGGGTTTGCTCTCTGCACCAAGAAGAGAAAAATGGCTCAGTGCTTTCACGCATGACTCAGACTCCGCTGTGCTTGGGAGAAGAGCAGAGCGCACTCTCTGCTGAGAGCAACAGGACAATGCCGTCGCTTGTGTCTGCTCTTCCCAGGCCTCATGGTTCTTTTCTCTTTATTCAGATGGCTTGGCAGTAGTGACCCTGATTGGAATCATAATTGGCGTCCTGTTAGCCATCGGCTTCGTTGGAGGGATCATCATTGTGGTTATGAGGAAAGTTTCTGGAAGGTTCTCGTAAGTAACCTCTTATCCCCATGTGATATGTGAACGTTGGCCGTCTGCTCACCACTCAAACCTCTGCATGCGTAGAACCGCTGCCTTGTCGCCTCCACAGGGACAGATGTCAGCACTGGCTGTAGACTTTTCTAAAAACACAGGCAGAGCCCAAGACTGACTTCCTCTGCGGTCTGAGCAGATTGGATCTCTCGTCTTAGTTTTCCAACTACCCACACTTGAAAGAAAATCCAAACCAAGTTTTAACTTGTTCCCTCATCAATCTCCTTGCCCTCCAGCCATCAAAGACAGGTGTGCTGAGGGGAAGAAAGCACCTGTCGCAGAGGCAGGCCTTCGTTCTGATGAGGACCTGCACTGTGTGTGCACCGTGTGTGCACTGTGTGTGTGATGTGGGTGGCGTCTTTTGTAGTTATCACTCCCTCACACCTGTCCTGCACACCCATCACACAGGTCAGGTCGTTCTATTTTCCTGGCATTGGCTTTAGGAGGGAAGAGCCTTTCTCCTGGTTAAGCTTCTCTCACAGCGTTCCAACTCAGCACGGGAGAGAAACCAGAGAAATCTGATGGGCGGGGAGGGGAGAGGATGAGTCGTCCATGGCTGGGAAGGGCGGTGACACACAGCTGCCAGTGCATCGTGTTGGAGATGTCTGGAGTCCTGACCCCGCCTGCCTAAGGACTAGATGTGGAGGGGAATACCTGGGAACTAAGGGCACAGGGGTCTGGGACTGAAACCACAGAAAAGGACAATAGGCTCAATGACTATGGGGCAGGGAGTGACTGGTCCCAATAGTTAAAGAAGCAATAATTCTCTTTATTTTCACAGGCCCTAAAGAGCTGAACAGATCAGGTTGTTCTCCCAACATATCTGAAAATAAGGGCGCTTCCAGCGTCCCCTGTTCCCCATCTTCTGCTTGTGGAGGAAGATGACCCATGGAATGCCCACCCCACTCACAGCCATGGTGACTCCTCCGCTTGCCGAAGTACCAAAAGGAAAGATACATGACAAGCCACGGCCCCTCGAGCATATGCCTTTGGAAAACAAACATTCTTAATATAAATTTTATAATAAATGATTCAAAATACAACATGCGTGGAAAATGAAGCGAAGCTACGTAAACTGACTTGTTAACCAAGACAGCATCACCAGTTGACCTTAGCAATTGTAACCATGGCTTCATCCTGGCCATTCCCTGCTACTGCTGGGATGCAAAGGAATCTGGAAACGTTTATTGAATTTGCAGAGCCGTTGACTCAGTGTTACTTACGTCAAAGAGGCACGGGCCTGCTGATATGTACACATTCCAGCCTGGATTTGGGGGGGGTGTCTGTTTAAATATGTTTGAGTCATCGAGCTGCAAGTGTAAATTTATAATCAGGCATGGTGAGCAGCCCCTTAAGGGAGCCTGGTGGACCGTTTCAGAAGCATCCATTGTGGCTTCAGGTCCAGGAGGGTACTTTGCAGTTCTCTAAACCATCTCTAAGCCATGGTGACTTGAGGAGTCATGTCCTCACCTCCCTACACGCAAACCTTTGGATGATTTGATTCTTTCCGTACTGTGAAGGCCTTATTCCAGATGTTGAGAAAGTTCTTGGATGTCACAGGATGCCAGAGGCTCAGCAGCTGTAGAACCAAGCAGGGAACTTGATCCTTAAGCACAAGAGACTCCTGTGTGTGTTTGGTATAGAAGATAAACTGACCAGTTTCTAACATCTGCCTTCTGTTTCTGAAGAAAGACAGGGAAAGCAAAAAGAATAGTTGCTCTTATGTGGATGGGTGTAAAGGTCTGAGTTTAAAATAAAAGATACTTCTAGTCTTCGTGACATACTACATCTTTCTGTGGGTTCAATCAAGAAGATCAAAACGATGAGACCACAGGGGTGTCCTGCCTCTACCACCCAGCTTGGTACTTCTCCTTCTTCTGCACAGTATTTAACACTGGCCTGGCCAGATGCTCTGTTAAGACTGTGATTATATAATCCTTACATCCTCTAGCCTAGGAAGAGTTCACAAGATGCAGAGAAAAGTAACCCAGTGTGCCTGTGTGTTGACCCAACCCAGCTGGCCCAGCAGGCTGCCTATTCGCACATCAGCGGGGGCCGGGCTGGTTAGAAGAGCCTTGTGAGTCAAATCATAGTGTGAGTGGTCCTCCTCCTCATCCGTCAGATTCCAAACTGGAGCTAGGAACAGTGCCCTTTTCTTCTTTCTATCCTCTCCCTTCCCACTTCCACCTCCAGCCCACCACCTTCACCCTGAAAAATAGCAGCCCAACTCAAACTATACCCCAGCCAGTGCCTGCTGGGGCAGGGCTGTGGTGTCTTGGTCACCTGTGTTGGTACTCAATACAGTGTCGACATCTTTTCAAATAAAACATGATTGTGTACAAACACGGGTCCAACCTCTGACTGAACACTTCCGCCGAGAATGGATGTTATTTCTGCTAATGTTATACAACATTTATTTACTCGTTTTTGGTTTGGTTTGGATTTTTTTTTAAATTTATTTATTATGTATACAACATTCTGCCCCCATGTATGCCTGCATGCCAGAAGAGGGCCACAGATCTCATTACAGATGGTTGTGAGCCACCATGTGGTTGCTGGGAATTGAACTCAGGACCTCTGGAAGAGCAGCCAGCACTCTTAACCACTGAGCCATCTCTCCAGCCCAGAAAGAAACGTGTAGCCCAGGCTGGCCTCGAACTCGTGATCCTCCTGCCTCTGCCTCCTTCAGCAAATCCTACCGGCGTGCGCCACCACTACCGGCTTGGTTTGGATTTTTGAGACAGGGTTTCTCTGTTCTGGAATTTGCTTTGTAGACCAGGCTTACCTCAAACAGCCACATGCCTTTTAAACCCAGCTACCTTCTGACTTAATGGAAAGAGAGTATCCTTGATCAGAGGAAGTTTGTCCCCAGGAAAGAAATGCAACCATAGTGTTCACCAATCTCTCTGCTAAAGACGAGAGCCCAAGGCCAACAGGACAAAAACTAGGTAGCCTCTTGAGTCCTTTTCTCTGATCTCAGGGTTAACGAGGTCTTGCCTGGTCCTTCCTTTCTGCATTGTAAAGAAAAGCCAGGTGAGGAACAATTTTATCTTGCCCTTGAAACTCAAGGCCTTCCTATAAACCCACCTGTAGATCCAGAGCTCAGCTGTCCAAGAACAGGAGGTGACAGAAGGGAAGGGTCCACAGACGTGGGCAGCTGTGCCTCCATCCAGAACCCACTTCTCACTCGTTCCTCCTACCTGGGGACTGGTCCCTCTGTCATCTGTCCCTCTACATCCTGCCATTCTGCCAGGATCCTGTTGTTACACTGTTGACCTTCTACAAGCCTGTGATCACTTATAAAAGTTGAGGGTTAGCAGTAGTTACCTTCTGCCCCTTTCAAAATAGGTGAAGCTTGGGGCTGGTGAGATGGCTCAGTGTGCAAAGGCGCATTCTACACAAGCCTGAGGATGTGAGTTTGGTCCCGGGAGCCCAGGGGAGAAGGAGAGACCTGATTTCTCTCTCTTCCACTCATTTTCACGTATCACACATAATAAACATTTAAATTAGTAAAAGTAGGAATTGGCTATACCTTATATATGAAATGCATAGGATTGTAAGTATTCAGACATTTTTTTTGGTGGGGGTGAGAGTGTTTTGAGAAAAACATTTAAAAAATTATTATTTTATTATACTTTGTCTATGTGTTTTTACAGCATGTCTATTTGCACTACCACTGCCTGGAGCCCGTGGCAACCTCCTGAAGAGGGCATGGGATCCCCTAGAATTGCAGTTACAGATGGTTGTGAACTATCATATTGGTGTTGCGGGCTGAACCCAGGTCCTCTGGAAGATCAGCCAGTGCTCTTAACTGTTGAGCCATTTCTTCAGCCCCTTGAGATAGATTCTTGTCTCGTGACTTAGGTCGCATTTGAACTCAATCCTCCTACCTCAGCTTTCCCAGTTCTGAGATTATGCGTGCTATGCCTGGCCCCAGACATTAGAAAATGGCATATTTTCATAGTCCCAGTTGACCATCCCTAATCTGAGATTGATATCTATGGCACTCCAAAGTTTTGAACGGAGCATCATGTCAACTTGAAATACTTCTGTATTTTTTTTTTTTAAAGCATTTCTGATTTCAAAGTTTGAAATGTTTGACCTGGCCTCAGGTTTTATTCAGTTGGGGTTGTTGAGTTTGCAGAACATCAGGATTCTGGGTGCCTGGTTCCCTAGAGAAAACTGAGATTTGGCCCATCCATTGCTTTTTTTTTTTTTTTAACCCCTTGGGTGGGCCACTTAAAAACCTTTGGTTCATTTGTAGTTACTTCTGGAGACTGTGGAGAAAGCTTCTCTTGTCTCATGGAAGACTAGTCACACTTCCTCGTCTCACACCCCCAAAGGGAAAGTGGGCCCTCCTGTTTGTCTCGTGCACATTTGTCTTCCAGGATAAACGCTCCCAGGGGAATGCTGGAAAGCAGAGCCAAGGGTGTGGGGTGTTTAAGAAAACAGCTTTGTCTGCTCCTCCACCCCGGACATCTGGGCTGGCGGTAGTGATGAAGTTCACTTCTATTGCCCTATCAGTCCATTGTTCGGCTGTTCATGGTGTCTCATGCCTGTACTCCCCGAGCCCAGAAAACTGAGGCAGGAGGAGCATGAGTTTGAGGCCAGCCTGGGCTTTATACTGAGATGCTGGATCAATTCTCTGCTTTCTGCTCCACGTTTGTCTTCTCCAGCAAACTTAAGGTTTACTTCTGGAGTTCCTCGACTCGGGCGTTGCTCTCCAGCTGAGCAGGTGTCTGCTCAGTTGCCAGCTGCCCCTTCAGCCCCGATGCAGTGGGTAGCACTTAGCTAGTGGACAGTTCTCCCACCCTCTGCAAGCATACCACCCTCTTCCTGGTCAGATCTTCAACAGAAGCTCATCGTTAGTGCAAAGTTAAATGTCCCCATCCCCCTCCAGTTTGAACTGCCTGTGCCAGTGATCCCGAGCTAGGATCTCTCTGAACATACCACCACCACATTCCAAAAGTGCTCCAGTAGTTATAAAACAACCAGGGGAAGGGGGATCCTATATGAGACCATGGTACCTATATCACAGACACCCATACAACATATTGCAGTAAAAGCTGCGTGGTTCTAGGTCTAGGTCCAGCATGGGTGCCAGGTTCTCACACCTCCAATACAGAAAAAACTGCTAATTTTGTGTCTAACTTAGACTTTATTATTTTATTTATTTAAATTTGGGGTTTTTTGAGGTAGGGTCTTTCTGTGTACCCCCAGCTGTCCTAGAACTATCTATATAAGCCAGGCTGGCCTCCAACTCACAGAGATCCGTCTGCTCCTGCCTCTCAAGTGCTGGGATTAAAGGTGTGTGCCACTACATTCTGCTTCCCTAGACTCTTCAAGATTTTGTTTTTATTTGTGTGCGCATGCATGTGAGGGCAAATGTCTGTGGAGGCCAGAAGTGAGTATTAAATCTGTAACCAGAGTTAACAGTCGGTTAGGAGTTGTCGGACACAGGTGTTGGGAACCAAACTCAAGACCCCTGCAAGACTAGAAAGTGCTCCTATCCCAGAGAACCTAGACAACAATGAGGACCCTAAGAGAAACATTCATGCATCTAATTTACATGGGAAATAGAAAAAGACAGGATCTCCTGAGTAGATTAGGAGCATGGGGACCATGGGAGAGGGCTGAAGGGGACGGGAGAGAAAGGGAGGCAAGCAGAGGAAAAAGTATAGTTCAACAAAATCAATAGAAAAGAAAAAAATCTATTGTTTAATAAATTTGTATTAATGCATAAAAAAGAAAGTGCTCCTAATCATTGAACCATCACTTAGTTTTTAAATTTAGTTTTAATTAATTTGTTTATTTTTACATACATGCCTGTATGTCCTCTTGCATGCATTTTAAAGGCAGCACCCCAGCCTGGCATCAAACTCGATATGTAGCCAAAGATGACCAAGAACTTCCATGTTCCTCCTGTCTCCACCCCTTGAGTGCTGGGGTCAGAGCTGTGTACCACGACGTCCGCTGAGGATCAAGCTCAGGGATGTTTTTCATTCTAAGAAAGCACTCTACCAACAGCCGCACCTCTAGCTCCATGTTCAAGATCCGTGGTCTCGCCATTAGTCCACAGTCATGCATAATCCCTTCGGCCAATGGAGAAACGGGAGCCCTGTGTTTTGATTACGAACTGCTTAGAGCATATAGAGAACACAAATCAACCGGAAAGCCCTATTACACCTATTATCCATTATAAAATAAATGATCACATATTTTTATGTAATTATCTTCCAGAAATAAAAACTTGTCTGCATTCTTCCCTGGGCACCTTCTGATAGCAAAGCTGCACACACACACCCCCCTCCCCCGGGAATCATTCCCCTAAATTGGATGCAGGTCACCTGGTCACCTTGAACCACGTATATTTTCTATACCTTACTCCACGTAAGATGTTTCCGCAATCAAGGTGTAATACTATGGCTGGGAGATAGCTCAGTGGCAGAGAGAACACCTGTACCACGTGTAAGGCCCAGGGTTTCACTCCTGGACATGGGATCTTCCTCAGGAATTGCTTCTTCTGGCCACATTCTGTCTGTGAGCCTCCTCTTTGATTAGGCACATTACCCAGATGCAGCCCGACGGCTGGTGTAGAAGATTAGGTCATGGCTACACGGCCATTCCTGATTGTTTTTCCCCATTGCTCAGTATCTAGGCTGTTCCTAAATTCTTGAATCTAAAGATGACATCCATGTAAATGGACTTTTCTTTGGCCCTCCAGCTCATAAAAAGCGACACAGGGACTTATTATCAATTTTGAAAGCTGGGCCTTAGCT